AGAGAGAGAGAGAGAGAGAGAGAGAGAGAGAGAGAGAGAGAGAGAGAAGATAGGTAGATAGGCAGATAGATGAGACAGCAATAGAAAGACAGATATAGATAGAAAGATAGGTAGATGAGAGATAGATAGATGAGAGAGATGATAGATGATAGGTAGGTAGGTAGATATATAGATAGATGGATGAGAGAGCGATAGAAGGACAAATATAGATAGGTAGATGATAGATGATAGAGATGATAGATGATAGGTAGGTAGTTAGGTAGATGGTAGATAGATGAGAGATGATGGTAGGTAGGTTGATAGATAATGAGATAGGTACGTACATAGGTAGATAGGTAGATAGATAATAGACATAGATAAATAAATAGATAATAGATAGAAGATAGATATACAGATAGATATACAAAATTTATATGGCTGTCCTTCTCACAAATGTAATCCTGGGGGATATAGAACAATTGAAAAAACAATAAAAGTATAAAAAGTCATTATTTCTTTAAAAGGTTTTTTAAAAATCACAAGGCACAAGAGAGAATAGATATTAACCACAGTAACGGAACCACCTCAAACTCTCACTAAGTCTTCTAAGCTTGTTAGCCAGAAAAGTTCTTAATACAGATTCATTCATTTAGTGACCAAAGCTGCAACAGAATTGAAAAAAGTGACTTATGGCCATTTTTCACACGTATAACTGTTGCAGCATTCCCCCCCGCCACAAGATCAAAATTGAGAGGCTTGGCAAATGGCTTGCATTTATGACGGTTGCACTGTCCCAGGGTTATGGGATTACCATCTGTAACATTTCCAGTGGCTTTTTTTACAAGCAAAGCCAATGGAGGAAGCCAGATTCACTTAACAACTGCAGTGGTTCACTTAACAGCTGTGACAAAAAAAAAAAGTTCGCAGGAGGCATGAATCACTTAACAACTGCTTTGCTGGAAATTTTGGGCTCAATTGTCATCCTTAAAGTTGAAGACTACCTATAATTGCTTTTTTTTTTTTTTAATATTGCTTACAGGGGTTTGGTATTTTGGTCGCTGTTTTAAAATACACTTTGCTTGATTGTAGCTGGCCCGCAGAAAGTCCCATGAGCTGCAACCGGAATCAGGAACTTTAATGCAACGTGCAAGGAGTGACATACTTGTATTAATAGTCCCCATCCCCCCCTGACACATAGACCCATGCACAATCATGTCTGAAATTGCAAAATCTGTTACGACAGAAATTGCCCAGACACACACACACACACTTTCTTACCAATTCTTTTAATGGCACTTCCTCGAAAAGGGGATGTTCTTGAAAATGCTTCACCATCCATGTGTGCACCTCTTCCACATCTGTGATGGTATATACTAGGCCCTAAGCGAATAAAGGCTGTGTTATATAAACAGGGGCAAGTGAGACCCTCATGAATCAAAATACCAGACTGCTGACCAAGGGGGTGGTGGTGGAGAAATAGTTTAAAGACACTCGCACCTGCAAATCACAGGTTCACTTGAAAAATCTTAAGCACAGAATCTATCCTGCGCGGTAGAAAGACCAAGGCCAGGCCCGTGAGTAATTCCCAGCTGCCTCCGACTCTGACTCCCTCCCCACTTGAGGCAAAATGTTTGCAATCTTGGGGTTGCTGGGAGGGTACCGCTGCCGTCATCCCCATAGGATGCGCTTCGGTTGGGCTTTTCCCAGCCTCTTCCTCCAGAGTGCTAACTTTGGGGAAGTCATGGAAAAGCCGAAGGGAGAATATGATTCATCCCAACTGGGTGAGGCCGGATGCCGTTCACCCCAAAGACAAGACCTTTGTTGGTTTCAACTCCAAAAAAGGATCGCACACAAGCACTTCCTACTTTTGTCCCCTGGCAGGTGAAAGTGGAGTCAGCCAGAAGGCCCTGCGGGGAAGCAGCTAGAAACCACGACTTCCAAGGTTCCCTGCCAGCACCAGCTCCCGATGAGATGTAGGGGAAAGTTGATTTCTTTCCTCCGGCAAACAACTGGCACTCTTCCCTACTCTCGGATCAAAAATTCCCAACTGTAAGCAGGGCCTTTTCACCTTTAGGATATGTTGACACGCCAGCACACGTTGACAGATTCCAATCAAGAAATTAATTGCCCTTGGGATTTAAAGGCGAAGTCCCCTCTGGAGACCACCAATTAAAATCTGCCCTCCCCCTCCCCATGAATGAATGGATGCCCGAAAGGAAGACTCATCTTCCATTCATACCCTCTCTTAGAGCAATAAGGAGAGAGAAGACTCTCTAGACCCAGGGGTGGGATTTAAAAGTTCCCACCACCGGTTCGGTGGGCGTGGCTTGGTGGGCGTGGCTGCAGGGGTGGGATCATCATGCGCACGCGTTAAAACAGTAAAAACTAAGCTACTGCGCCTCTCCGCTGTTTAGCACGGCAATCCGCTCTGCCACGCTAAACAGCTGAGAGGTTAAAAAGGACCTAGAAGCAGGGGCGGGCAGGTGGGTCCAACTGCAGAGCGTCAGACTTAGAGCAAACTGGTTCTCTGCCAGCTGATTTTCGGCGCTACCGGTACACTAGAACTGGACCGAACCGGTAGAATACCACCACCGTCTAGACTAGAGGGTCAGGAATGATGGCCTCTTTATGACTTGTGGACTTCAACTCCCAGCATGGCCATCTCAGGAATTCTGGGAGTTGAAATCCACAAGTCATAACAGGGCCATCATTCCCCACCTCTGGCCTAGACTAATGTTGGATATATACTACCATGTTGTGACTCGGAGGTTTGAGCCTGCTCTGTTAGAAGACACAGACTTGAGCAATGAGGAAGAGGAGGATTTGGCCTTGAGGTTTGAGCCTGCTTTGCTGGAGGACACAGACTTGAGCCATGAGGAAGAGGAGGATTTGGCTCTGAGGTTTGAGCCTGCTTTGCTGGAGGATTTGGAATTGCCTTCCTCCCCAGGACCTTCCTCCCTGGTTGTGCCTCAGGTGTCGGCAGATAATCAGGAGAGCGTAGCGGAGCCTCTGGCTGAGGATCAAACTGAGGAATGTTGGTTTGATGCGAGGCAAAGACGTGAGATGCAACGTAGAAGGAAAGGACAAATCAGGGACTGAGATGAGAGACTGACACGCCCCTCAGGGAATAAAAGTGGGCGTGTTAGCTCTGGATTCTCGTTCGGGACAACTTGTTAATTTGGGATAGAAGCTTTGACAAATACTGTGTGCGGCGTTTGCCTGTGATTTATGTTCTTGTTTTATTATCGGACTTGGCAGGCAGCTTGTGGGAGACTGCCAAGGACTTCTCCAGCCAAAGGAATTTAACCCTGTTGTTACTGGTCCTGTCTGCTTGTTTATATTCCTTTGGAAACTTGGACTCTCACCTCGTGGGCACAGGTGAGACATAACACTACCATATTCTGCTTTGGCCTAATGCCTTAAGCACTCCATCAAACTGGCTCTCGTTTCACTTTATCTATCTAGTGAAGCCAAAAACGTTGTGTGGATGGGCAGATGCTATACATGGTCAAAATGAAGGGAAAGGGCTATCTCCAAATACTGCAAACACTTAGGAATGATCAATGCCGATGTACAGTCATATTCCTCCTACCTTTTTCCAGCCACACGATTTAATGGGAAAATCTCAATAGGGACTTTTGTTAGATAATTGAGAATCCAGGACTTTTACAAGTCATCCTGTGATCTATCATTTGCTCATTTTTTGTTTAAAAAATGGGAGTTGGCTGACTCCCTGGGGACTTAGCTAAAATTCCTTCCCTTGATTTGTCAAGAGTTGTTGGAAGCCTGTCCAAGAATCTTCTAGGGCTCCACTGTTGACCATCTGGATATACAATGGCTATTTTGGGTGATGCAATTTTTCTGTCCGAATGATTTACGGCAGTAAGCTTAACAAACCCCCAAAGTCTAGTCCTCCCACTGATTTTTACAGCCTCGCTCCAATTCTCCCAAATGATTAAAATGAATGAATGAAAAGTGCAGTGTAATCCGAAAAATATAGCCTACTGCTTTGTCAATAACAAAATACTGTTTGAAAAATGTATGCTGTTTCTCTGGCGCATGGTTTCTCTGCACTACTCTATTGGTCAAAATTGGCCACTTGATCTAGAGCAGTGGTTCCCAACCTTTTTTTCGCCCCGCACCCCTAAAGAAATTTCACTCGAACCTCGCACCCCCTGAAATTTAGACTTTAGGAAACTACTGAACGCGTTAAATATATGGTAGGATTGAATCTTTTCAGCTATGTATGTGACGGCCACTAAATAACGATACTTAACTCTAAAATGAAAACAAAGTTAATCCATTGCATAATAAATAAAAATGCCAACATATAGCCAATATCCTATTATTTACCTGGACTTTTCTCGCACCCCCTGGAATATCGTCTCGCACCCCCAGGTTGGGAACCCCTGATCTAGACTGATTTATTGGCTATATATGCCCAAATCCACGGTGGTATGCAATCATATGCGAAATTAACTTCAGAGTCAGTCCTTTCCACTCTAGCTAGCACTACTTCCCAGTATCTTGAACAGATGCAATTGCTCAAAAATAAATAGTATTTCACTAGAAGGGCCCATTGTCCACAGGAGTTTTTCTGGCAACTGGCTAGCACAACGATACATGTATATTTGGCATTCAGAAAGACTGCAATTGTTGGCACATATTTATATATCTCAGAGATCAATATTGGGAAAAAGCTTGTGCCCAAAATTGTGAAGAATGACTGCAACTTTTCAACTTAAGAGTAGCTTGTACTGCTGCTGGAGTAGGCAAAGCAGTCATCCAAAGCAGGTATCTCACTATCATAAAATAAAAAGAAGCTCTCCCATAAGGAAGCTTTCTAATATTGTACTTATCTTTTCTTTTTATGCCAAAATCAAAAGAGCAGCTGAAAATGTAGGCAAACAGGGGAAGAACTGAAATAAAAACCTTTGCTGAGTAATTTTATTGGATTATAAATATAGGCTGCTTTGGGGAGGTCTAAGTTACCTCAGAATATCCCCCGCTTACCTCTTCACGCAAGACATAGGCATATTCTGCCAGCAAAGTGGAGCTGATAATCCGCCACTTGTGTTTTGTCTTCTTGAAATGAGGATCAGGGAAGAGGAAGAACATTTTGAGGAGCTAGAGAGGCAAGAAAAGATAAAAGGCAGGGAGGAGGTTTGCCTGGCCTTTCAGCCACCCAGCTCTCCTATTCAGCATTCAGACAACATTCAGTCCCTAAAGAGCATTACGGGTAGTCCTCAACTTATGACCACATTGGAGCCCAGGATTTGCGCTGCTAAGTGAGACGTTTGTCAAGTGAGTTTTGCCCCATTCTACGACTCTTCCTGCCACACTGGTTAAGTGAATCACGGCAGTTGTTCAACGAGTAACACGGTGGTCAAATGAAGCCATGGACTTTGCTTGTCAGAAAAAGGATCACCGTGTGACCCCCGTAGGACATTGCAACCATCATAAATATCAACCAGTTCTCGAGAATCCAAATGTAAATCACGTGACCATGGGGCCAGCTGATGATGATCATTAAGTGTGAAAAATGGTCACAGGTCACTTTTTTTCAGTGCCGTTGTAACTTCGAACGGTTGCTAAATGAACTGCTGTTAAGTCCAGGATGACCTGTAATCAGGGGTGTCAAAGTTGTGGCCCATGGGCTGGATGTGTCACACACCGGCCACAGCCATGCCTGGTTTTAAGGGGGGGAGGAGTCACAATACGTCATGTGACGACAACGTGATGCCGTGAGTTTGACAGCCCTTCTAGAGTCAATCTTAGCTTTTTAGATTAAAACACTGTTCAGGCAACAGAGTTATCCGAAGCATCTACTTCCGTGATGGCAAACCTATGGCACACATGCCACAGGTGGCATGCAGACCCATTTGTGCCAGCACGCGAGCTGCAGGCAAACTTACCTCCCTGCACATGTGTGCGCCTCAGAGCTGATTTTCAGCAGGTTTGAGGCCTTTTTTGGCCTCCCAGAGGCTTGAGGAAGGCTTCTGCAGGCTTTGCAGGCCGAAAACTAGCCCTGTTTCGTCACTTCCTGTTTTTCCGACAATACCAGAAGTGAGGAAACAGAGCTAGTTTTCGGCCTGCAAAGCCTGCAGGAACCTTCCTCAAGCCTCTGGGAGGCCGAAAATCAGCTGTGAGGCACAGTGCAGGTAAGGGGGCAGAGGGGGTTGGTGGATGGGTGGGTGGGTATTGTGCGTGCATGCATAGGGGACGTGGGGGGGCACATTGCCTTCTGGGTGCTGACATGTGAGCGTGAGCTGGCACGCGCCCGTACAGTTTTTGGCACAGGTGCCCCAAAAGGTTAGCCACCACTGATCTACTTGATGCCTTGAGACAGGGATCCTCAAACTTGGCAACTTTAAGACTTGCGGACTTCAACTCCCAGAATTCCTCAGTCAGCATAGCTATATGCTGACTGAGGAATTCTGGGAATTGAAGTCCGCAAGTCTTTAAGTTGTCACGTTTGGAGACCTCTGTCTTGAGAAGTCAGTGCAGGATGTACGTAAGATGTCTTTTAAAAAAATATAATAATACCCTTTTGTAAGCCATCCCAAAGATCCGTGAAATGGGAACTCTCCCAAAGCCAAACAGGGCAGGAGAAGATTCTCTTCCATACAAGCACGGAAGCATCTTTCAGGGCTCTGAGAGGGCTCTGCTTCCTGCAGAATCCCCAGCGATGCTTCCCAGGGACTCACCTGTCCCTTGCGGAAGAAGTTGGGCAGGTGCTTCATAGCATTGCTGCGAACGCAGGAAATATTCTGGAACTGCCCTGGGTGGGAGGCTCTGAGTGCCTGGATTCGGTCACAAACATAATCGGAGACTTTCACACGAAGTTCCAGACCCAGCATTAGCGTGTTTGGGAACAGCGGGGACAGGGCCACTAACAAAAGAAAACAGCAATCAGCAACCTTACGCCCATTTCCACATTCCACCTGCACGAAGCCCGACAGCAGGGGTGTCAAACTCAAGGGCCAAATCCGGCCCGTGGGGTGCTTAGATCTGGCCTGCGGGGCTGCCCTAGAAACAGCAAAGGACCAGCCTGTGGAGTGGAGCTCTGTTTTTGCTGGCAGAGGGTTGCAAGAGGCCATCATAGTTGAAAACAGAGCACGGGAGCCCATTTTCGCTGGGAGAGCGCTCCGGCCACCACAGGCACCCCCAACCCAAACTGCTGCCCCCCCGCCACCAAGGTGAAACACAACCCTGATGTGGCCCCCCAATGAAATTGAGTTTGACACTCCTGCCCTATAGGTTAAGTGTTGTCTCCAAATGTTCTGCCTCCACCTGAATATTTTTTCTTTCTTTCTTTCTTTCTTTTAATTTCAAGTGCAGGGAGTTGACGTGTGGCAAAACACCAACCTCTTTGCCTCTCTTTTAAGTTGGGGTGGCAAAAAAACATCCTGGGTCTAGGATGGGAAACAACCGTACCCCTTTGCCTGCTGACGAAGAGATGCTTAATGAATGGCAGGTCCATCCTGGCGGAAGTTTTCCTATTCAGGAAAATCCTACAGTAACCCTTCTTGGAGAGGAGGGAGCACCTGTGACCCACTTTACAAATTCATTCCTAACCAACCCAGAAACGCTACCCATCACACCTGCAGGAAGACAACATTATACAGGAGACAAGGTAATTTCAAATTGCCTTGGATATTTAGGTTAGATGTATTTTGGACACTTTGATGTGACTTTTTTTCCCCTCTCCTTTCCTACCATGTTGGTGTCATTGCTTTTTGTAAAGTGGCAATCTTGTCTCACGCTTATTTAATCCACTGAAATAAGGTAAACATTTTTTGATTAAACGTGGTCAGGAGCAGCTTATATTACAACCCCGTTAGGGCCTTCGTATTTCAGAAATGGGCCTCTCTGCTTAAACTGCTTACATGATCCAACTCAAGTGCAGTTACTTAAAGTAACATTATAAGTGGTACCGTAACTACAGGTAGTCCTCAATTTATTACTGGTCTCTTAGTGACCGTTTGGAGTTAGGTACACTCAAAGAGATACTTACGATCCAATTCCTAAATTCTGACAGCTGCCCCTCTCCTGCATTTTGGATGCTTAGCAATGGCCCACATTTATGGCTGTTTGCAGTGTCCCACAATCACAAGTATTACGGTGTTTGGGCCAAAAACTGGCATTTCCTTCCATGTTTTTGCAAAAATCCCTAATGGTAAAACAATGGGTGCCTTTATCAACTGAGGCAGTCACTTTACAGCCAGTTTTTGTTTAATGACCAAAGCAAATAAGGTCATCATTTGGATCAATCATGTCATAACCTGCTTTATGACCATCATGATTGGAATGGGCAGGCTCCATAACGGTCATAAGCAGAGGACTATCTGTACGCAATTAATTCTCTTGTTGAAATCAGGAGGAAACATCCTCTTAACATGAACTGGATTGCCACCAGCTTTGATTGCACAGTCTCAATTTTTTTCATCCATTTTTTTTTTTTTTTTGGTTCTATTACAAGCAAACAAATGTAGCAGCTTCTACCAATCTGGTAGCCTCCAGATTGCAAGAGAATTACAATTTCCAAAATTCTTAATCTACTAAATTGAATGTTGCCCTAGCTGGCATTTGGGGGATCGGTGGCGTCCACACCTAAAAGGCAACAGCTTGGGAAAGCTGGTTTAAATTGGGTGGGATAAAATATTTCTTTCAGTATTGGAAGTCCACATTTTTATCCTAAAAGCCAAGGCTAAATTTGTTTAGGATTTCCAAAGCAATCTTTTATTCAGAGCTCTCATCTGATCTACACCTGCCTTCTTTCAGCAAAGTGGCTGCTGCTGTACTCCTTCAGATTACATCCCAGAATTATGATCTGTGGAATTCAGCACCGTATTCAACTGCCTGAGCTGCCCCTTGCTGTCCTTTCAAAGCAATTTTTGAATGCTTCTGGCAACAGAGATACTCCCTGAAGTGCATGACTAGCCTTGATAATCTCTCAAACGTGGTCATGGTGGCAATAGGTTAAAGCTTCAGGATCCTGCTGCTCCTTTCCTCAAGCAGCAGAGGGAAGTGGAAATATTTTTAACAACCTGTCAGTTTTATATCCATTGTGGATCCCGGGGCCATTTTGCAGAATTCAGGATTATATAGGTTACCAACGCTGCAAAACTATGTGATCGGGCTTAGTTTTTTTTTGGTGGTGGTGGGGGAATGTGCCTCTGCCTCCCAGCATTCATTGGTATTCATCTGGCTAGTGTCCTTTCAGAGTGTCAGAGTTAAGGGCTATTTGGAAACTGAAACATGGAAACTGAAAGAGTATTTGCTGTGTGAGCAAGGAGACAGCAAGGAGCCTGGGCATGGCTTAACTCAACTGCTCTGTACTAAAGCTGCTTGATGTTGTGAAACTGAAACTCCTCTCCTCTGCTTGTGTTTTGCATTTGGAACAGATTTCTTTTCAGGTGGGGAGGGGGAGTAGAACTCCTTAGCATCAGAGCATGTTAATAATAATATACGAAATACTAATGCTCTGATGGTCATTTCGAAAAATCTTTCTTAGTGAGCACCCAGAAACCAAGAAGAACATACGTGCCAAATTTCAAGTTTGTAGGCTTTATGGTTCTGGAGATTTTGTGATGATGCGTGACTGGTATTTCGTTTTTATATATATATATAGATTGTATGTATTCTTGAGCTCTAATCACAGTACATACAGCCCTGCAACTATCTTTCAATTTACTCTAAAACCTTTAAAACCAGGGCAAGAGGCAAGCCTTGTTTTGCTGCAATTCCCATTGTCCAGCATGTTATAAATCTGAAAAACAAGCAAGCGGACTTGGGAGTCTCTTAATAGTTAACAGCTTACATATTATGAATATGATACTATATCCTCTTGCTTAAGGGCAAAACGGTAGAGCAAGGTCCACCTCAAACTAGCATTGTTTGCAAGATGCATATAATTGGTGGGCTGCAGAGACCATGCTAGCCTGACAAACACATTTCTCGCTCCTATCACCTTCAAACATGTCTATCATCCATGCTGGCTGGGGGGGAAGAGGAGATAGATAGGTCAACAAAAGGTGAAGATGAGATTCATACCTGGGGTATGTAAGTAACAGGCCAGATGTGCTCCTTTGACTCTACCCATATTTATATTTATATCATCACCCATTGATACCAAACTACAATGAATAGGGTTTACTTCCATGGAACCTTAGTTGTTATCAGAGGGTAGGAGCTTTCATAGACTTACAGGTAGCCCTTGACGTATGACCACAATGGAGCCCAAAATTTCTGTTGCTAAGTGAAACAGCTGTTGAGTGAGTGCCCCATTGTACGACCTTCCTTGCCAGAGTTATTAAGTGTATCACTGCCATTGTTCAGTGGGTAACATGATTGTAAACTGAATCTGGCTTCCCCATTGACTTTGCTTGTTAGAAGCCTGCAAGAGGTGATCCACCTGACACCGGGATACCTGCAACTGTCATAAATACACAACATTTGCAAGCATCCAAATGTTGATCCCATGATCATGAGGATGCTGAAATGGTCATAAATGTGCAAAAAAGGTCATAAGTTATTTTATTTTTTTCAGGGACATTAATTGTAACTTTCAACGGTCCCTAAACGAAGGGTTGTTAAGTCAAGGACGACCTGCGTGAGGCATGCCAATAAGGTCACAATCCCACAATTTCATGGGCTATAACCATTACAGAATTCACTGGGTCGTATCTTCAATGTGGAAGATGCTGCAGGGAGTTAAATTTTGATCTGGGATATTTCAGATGGAAGCAAACAAGTCTCAGAAGCCTTGCAGAGTCTCTAAACTTTGTTTCCTGTATGAACTCCCACTTGCCTGGATTTGGAAAGTAGCTTCATAGAACCGATTCATGCAGGAACAACGGACCACATGAAAAACTGAGCACAAACTACCTATGTTTACGTGATACTTAGCACAGCAAGGTCACTTTAATCAGATTGTAGATACGGTGGCCACAACTATCACCTAAAAATCGCCTTCAGTGGAAATCAGATCATAGGCCTAGATGACAAAAAAAAAAAAAAAAAGATGTACCCTGCTCCCTTCATGGCTTATATCCCAAAACTTTCACAAATCTTATCCCAAAAGAAAAAAAAAACATCATCTAGAATGGTTTTCTGATGGTATGAATATTCACATATCACTAAAATTTGGAAATAAGCTTAGTCATTTCTTATGAATACAACGGAAGGGGAAAAAAATTACCAAGCAATCCTCCATAACCGCAACCAATATCAGCAAATTCCACTTGATATCTAGGTTTAGTTCTTTCCTCCATGTCCTTTGGGTCATCGTGCCAATTATCATTGGCTAAAGGAACACAAAATTCCGGATAGAGAGCAGACCAGTCCATTTCCTCAGGCTTGGCAGGACTAATGGGGGGGAAAAACACAAGAGGTTTATGAAACAAACACTGCAGAAGGGATGCTATGAAGGCTATGCAGACTTCAAAAACAATGTAGAAGACCTATTTCAGACTAGATGTAAATGCAAGGCTTCTCTAGCATTCAATACAGCTGTTTGGGGCTTGGAAAAAAAAGAGACCACTGCTTTAAAAGTTGCATTAATTTGAACAAATTGATTCCTTAAACATCATTTTTCCAGGCTTCCTCAGAAGCTGAAAAAAGCCTGGCTGCATTCATGAGCAGCAGAACTCCTCTTGTGTGAGCTGAAGGCCTTCTGAGTCATTTTCAAAGAATATCCAGTCCTAGAAACTACATATAGATCAGTTTCTATATTCTCTCTTGAGAATTCTGAAAACTAGAATCCTAACATCTTTAAACGGGGCAAAATTTAGAAAAAATATCTTTTCAGCCTATATATTCTAGACCAGGGCTCTTCAAACTTGACAGCTTTAAGACTTGTGGACTTCAACTCCCAGAATTCCTCCTCCAGTCATGTTAGCTCGGGAATTTTGGGAGTTGAAGTCCACAAGTCTTAAATTTGCCAAGTTTGAAGGCCCTTGTTCTAGATAATTTAATGTGGAGTTTTTTGGGTGTTTGCCCGACTAGGTAACATTGCTAATGAATGCAGGTTTGCTCCCTGTTTACAAATAGCCACTTGCCCTGCCAGAATTGGTGGGGGTATGGTTTTCTCCCTGTTAGTTCCTTGATTAGGGTATCTCTACTTGTTTGCTATTAAACAATGTTTATCTGGGCGTAGGCTGCTGGAGAGGATTGTTGTTTCCTTTTTAGTTTTTATTGCCTTTTGAGTGGTGCATAAATGTGGTTTGTCTGTGTCTATTGATGGCTGATTTGTCTGAATTTCCAGGAATTCGCTAGCATTTTTGGATTTAGCTTGGTGCACAATGTTCAGTTTTCCAGCTGAAACTATAGCTGAATCTGTCCATGTGTTTCGAGATTAGGGAGTTCTCATTCTGTCTTCTAATAGTTGGTGTTCATAAATGCACTCTGCTAGTTTTCTGCCTGTTTGTTCTACATAGTGGCTGTTATAGTCCTTACGCTGTATGTTGCAGTTGACTCTTGTTTTTTCTTGAGCTACCATGTTTTTTTCAGTTTACTTAAGATGTTTTAGAGGCATTTAGTTGGTTAGTGCACTGTGGTGATGCTGTGTGGTTATAACATTCTGTTGGTTATTTCTGAAATGCTTCTGAGATGACTATTTTAAAACACATTTGAATATTCAAATGACTTATACTTCTACTGACATTCCAAGGACGTGTTATACTCAAATGAAGTACTAATCTGGAAGCAAAAGATTTCCCAAATGCAATAATTTAGGGACTTTTATGTTAAGACTAACCACAATAAATTCCAATGATGTCAATAGATTCTTGGATTGCAATCAACCCACTAATTCAATACATTCTCACTTCGGAAGTAAAATTATCTGAGCTGTCTTCTTAAAATAGATTAAGCTAGTTTATCTACCTTATTTCCTAAAGTGTTTATATACTAACATTTATTTCACATCATTAGAGACTACACTATATTATTAGTTTCTGTAATATGAGTAATTTAAGTGGTATGATTTCCTAACAGTAATTCTAAGTATTATTTTTTATAACTTATAGACTAAACTGTACATACTGAGATGGCTGCAAAGTGCCATCTTTGAATGTTATTACATATTGGTCAACGATCAAAACAAAAATTGACAGATTGCTACATTACTCCATTTCTGTTTCATAGGCTTACTTCTAAGCAATTATGCAGAGGACTGCAGTGTTAATGATACTTTGAAATCAAGTACCAAGGACATTACAGTATTTCTAAACAAAATTCAACTCAAGCAATAATGGCTGAATTAAACAAAATTTACTCCTAACACTGAATAAACACACACTTCCATCCTCCTATAATATACCATGAAAAGAGATATGCCAATCTTTTTTGACCTGGGCACTCTCCAGATATGTTGGCAATGCAGCTCCCAGATTTCTTAGCAATGGCCATGCAGGTTTAGGATTTCTTTGAGCTGGTTTGCAAATCAGAATGTGCAAGAAAGTGGGTTATGCATACGCTGCTCTCTCTCAATATGGGCTTGCTGCTGGCTGCAGTTCCAGCCCACCTTTAGACAGCCTTTCTTTTGTACATTAAACTCAAGACCAGTCTAACCTAGTTTACAGAATATTGTAAGATACACGTCCAGTGTAAATCCTGGTAAAACTCCACATTATTACACGTGGCCACAGAAACTGGAGGTTTCCCTATTTCCCTGTTGCCATCTGCACTTCTGCTGCAATTATTATAGTGTGCTGGTGAGAAATATGTTGTCTTGCTATCTTTTAGAACGATCGTCCTTTAAAATCAATAACCTGGGTGAAAGAAGATTGTTTCATGCTTCCCCCACCCCTTAGGTAAAGAGGTAAAGCTTCACTCCCGATAGATTTTTCCCCCCACAGAATCCAACTAGATTTACATGCAGCAAGAATCTCAAACTTGCTAGATGTTCTGAACCACAGCTCAATACCACCAGGAGCAAAGGGTTACATCAGCACCTGAGCATTCAGAACAGCCAAACCCGGGGGAGGGGGACCCACAGGGACTCGTGAGCAAATGCATTCCTAGGAAATAAAAGCACCCGATGGAAATTGGACGCTGTTCCTTTTTTTTTTTTTGGGGGGGGGGGGGGGGGGAGTGTGGGATGTTTTTGAACTTGCAGGGAAACTATTTGAAGCACACGCAGAAAATAGGGAGGAGATGAGAAGCTAAGGAACCGCTTGGGGCAAACCCTGTCTACACTCACTAGAATAAAGTGTGATCCGCCAGCGGGTTTGAATGAGCGCGCTGCCGGTAGAAACGCTTCTGGGGTACCGCTGTTCTCTCCTCCATGGCCAACCAGAGTCAGGGACCCGGAAATGCTCAAACACGTGGATTCGCCTGCAAGTAGAAGTCGCAGGTAACTGACGTCACGGCGGAGCGCGAGAGGAAATTTGCCCCGCCTTTCTTTTAAAGAGCTGATTGCATGCCTATCGTATATGATGGGTGCCCTTCGATGGATGGGGGGCTTCTGGAAAATTTTGGGGGGGAAAAACACCATATTCGAATAAAAGACATTTTTTAACCTCTACATCCTTGCCTTCCCCATTCTGTATCTAGTAGCTGCAGGGTATGAAGTTAGCAAACATTTATCAAAAGATGTATTTGGACCCAACTTTTTTTTTAAAAAGACTTCATTTAGTGGCCGTTCAAAGTTACAACATAACTGAAAAAAGTAACATGGCCATTTTTCACACTTATGACCATTGCAGCAACCCCCATGATCAAAATTCAGAATGTTGGCAACTGTTTCAGGTGTATGATGGTTGTAGTGTCCCAGAATCATGTGATAACCTTTCATGATGTTTGACAAGCAAAGTCAATGTATAAAACAGATTCACTTAACTGTTACTAGCAACTGCAGTGATTCACTAAACTGTGGCAAGAAAGGTTGTAAAATGTGGGCAAAACTCATTTAACAAATGTCTCGCTTAGCAACATAAATTTTAGGCTCAATTGTGGTCTTGTCGAGGACTACCTGTACTGTGTCACAACTCAACCCACTTCTCAGAAGTAGTAATATATATTTTTAGTGTTCAGAACTAGCCACATAAATTATCTTGCTAAAGGTTTGCAAACCAGGTTTTAAAATTTATTATAATTGGTCACACAGTCAACAGGATGTTTAGAATGGATCTGGCATTTTTGTCGACCTATCTAGTGTACTATACTTCCCAAACACCTGGGATAGGCAAATATTGTTTGATTGTGTTGAATGTATCATTTTCATGGTTGCGAAGTCAGCTACATGTCTAGATTTGATTTGACATTTTTATCCAACTTATCAAGTCCTTCCCAAGGACAAGGGATAAGCAGATGTTGTTTGATGGTGTTGGTGTTAAAGGTATTGTAAGCTTTTTCAAGTAAAGCTGCCTTCTGCAATTGACTGGTGGTGATTTTGTAATTAGAAAACAAGAAGGAGAACTGGATTCTACTAACTGTGTGCAGTTACGTTGTCATTAAGTGTATTATAGATATCATGATGCTTCTGCTGATACAATTTTGAACAGCCTATTTTAAAATTATTTTACATAGAAGACATCATTATAAAAAAGGTAATGGACTGCACAGAAATGAACAACACAATGGAACTGCAGGAGAGGGAAGATAAAGAATTCTATATGGCCTGAGAAAAGTGGTATGTCTGGTTAGAAAATAGAAAGAAAATATAATGCAAAAGTAGAAGCTTTGAAGTGTAATTGTAAATAAAGTGTATGTATGTATGTATGTATGTATGTATGTATGTATGTATGTATGTATGTATAGGAGAATGGTATAACTGATGTCACAAATAACTGCAAAAATGTACCATAGAATTTGTTTGTTTTTAAGGTGAAAATTTAATAAACTTTATCTTTAAAAAATTATTTAACCACTTTTATTATTTTTGAAGGTTTGTATAAAAGCAATACAATTTGTTGTTCTGATCATTTAGTGCTTCCAGGTTCAGTGTCGCCAAAGCGAGATCACACCTAGAATTAAGGAGAAAATTCACCTCAACAATTAATTGTAATTAATTAATTACAATTAAGGGGTGAAATTACTTGCCTCCAGAAGTTGTGGGTGCTCCATCACTGGAGGTTGGACAGCCATTTGTCTGGAATATTTAGGATCTCCTGCTTGAGCAGAGGGGGTTGGACCTGAAGACCTCTAAGCTCCCTTCCAATTCTACTATTCTGTAACTCATGTAGCAGTTGTCTGTTTACTTATGTTGCCCTGGTCAGAGAAGAGGGATTGCATCCTTTTTCTGCTTTTGCACATTAAGTTGCACCAGGATGATTGCTTTTATCATGCAAGGGTCAGTCATAATTGCACGTTTTCCAGGGCTGTCTGCTAGGTACATCCAGCATTTGCCAGCCACAAGAACAGAAGTTGACTCCTTGCTCACTCGCTTGAGGATGGAACTCATTGGTTATTTATCATTGATCTTTAATTAATCACAAAAAGGAAAGAAAAAAGAGCAAATCACAAAATGAATAGCGATGGTGTTGATACATTGTCAAAGAGAGGAAGAAAAGAAGTGCTTTAACACAAAAAAAGTGAAAGAAATGCAAAAAAAAAAAAGATGTATGTCATTATAACAATAAATAGTTACAATTCTATATATATTAGTATCTCATTTTACCCTGCATGCTGTTTTTACTACTTGTGTCTGTCAACTGGACTATTTTGAACATATTATCACTCTTTTAAACAAATGTTTGACCTTGTTTAGAAATAGCCTGATTCATAGGTAAGAGTTATGGGATCATCTCTCCCTAGTGATGCTTATTATTCCATTAGTTCCAACAAGAAATGTATGCTCCTGTTCCCATCTGTGAGAGAGTGCCATTTCTGGCTTTATCCCAGGGCCCTGATAGTGTGGGTGACTCCACATTTTGGTTAAATTGATTGCAAGGAGATATTTTTGGCTGCTAGTTTATACTGTGTGTTAGTTATGTTTTAATTATGCTTGGGTTTGTTTTTCTGTTTTTATTATTTTTAAATTGTTAGCCACCCAGAGCTATGTATATCAAAGGGAATTTTAAAATAGGAAGCTAGGTGGCTAGGTGGCTAGGTGGCTAGATAGATAGATAGATAGATAGATAGATAGATAGATAGATAGATAGATAGATAGATAGATAGATAGATAGATAGATAGATAGATAGATAGATAGATATGGTGGATGGATGGAGGGAGGGGGGGAAAGATGGATATGCAAACAGGAATTACAAGGACCATCAGACAAACTCCAACTTCCCCACATGCTCCCCCCAATGCTCCTCTCTTGTTAATTGGGCTAAATTCATTTCACTGCTCTCTGTCCCATTTTAGGGAGAGGGATTGGTCATTGTTTTTCATAATACTGTTACTTTCTAATACTTCCTGGGAAGGAAACAAACCCAGAGGAATCTAGCAATTTTTTCCTTAAAATATCTGCTGAGCATGCTATGAAGACAACACTATTTGTTGCCTTATTACTGCAGCAAAATAGAAATAAAAAATAGGTTCACATATTTATGCAGGCATACATTTCTGCTTGCTCCTGGATTGATGGATAACCCTTAACTCAGCCTTCTGAAAGAGCTATGTTTATCCAAAAAACAATGTTTGTGTTATGTTGGGAGATCCGTCCCAATGAGAGATGCGAGACCAGTGACTTTCAAGCTCTTTTTATTAGGCGGTAGATCGGCTTGCTTGCATCGGATCGGCGGTGGCTTATATAGAACTTGTACCAGGCGCTGCGGCCAATGACAGCCGTTCGAATCTCCCGCGATCGGCTAGGCCAATCGCGGTTGATCCGTAACGGCCAATCAGTACTGTACACTCAACCAATCCGAATGCTGTGCCTCCCAGCCAATCAGAATGCAGGGTTACAAGAATGCAAATACAGAACAGTTTGGATCTCTTTAAGATATCAGGGTCTTTAAAAGCACCCCACAGAAAGGGTTCCTTGAAGTTTATTCATCTTCAAAACAGAACTCAAAGGTGGGATCTTGTCTGAATCAATCCATTTGCCCTGGTGATTACTATAGCAGTGAGTTCTATAATATCTTCTATATAAGCCCAGGTGGCACAATGGTTAGAACGCAGTATTGCAGGCTAATTCTGCTGACTGCTGGTTGCCATTAGTTCGGCAATTTGAGTCTCACTGGCTAAGATTGACTTAGCCATCCATCCTTTTGAGGTTGGTAAAATGAGGACCCAGATTGTTGGGGCAACATGCTGACTCTGTAAGGATACTATAAAATCTCCAGTCAGAGCGGGTATTTGCTGGTTCTCCAAGCTACTCAAAATTTCTACTACCCGTTCTCCAGAACTGATCAGAACCTGCTGAATACCACCTCTGCTCTGTAAACTGCTTAGAGAAGGCTATAAACTATAAAGCGCTGTGAAGTGCTATAAATGCGATTGCTATTTTCCTCATGTGCTTGTTTAGGTAATTGCTGGTGGACATGAGCAGTGTACCAGCAATTCAACCAACAAAATGATGTTATTTCAAATTTTACTGAATTACAGTTGGTAGAATTACCACTGGTTATGTTAGCTACATTTTATGGGCACTAAAGTCAAGCATCTTGGCCATGAGATGTCAAGCTTGCTCTAGAGGCAGATTATGATTTATTGTCTCCTATGTTGCTCGATTATTTGGGGTGGTCTCTGAAGCGGATCTCCTATCTTGGGTAGGCTCATGTAAAAGAAGGCAGTCTCTACCTGCTATTGCTATTTAGGAGTTTAAAGATCAAATAGTACTTAGCAATGGCACTTAGACTAATTTATACATTGCTTTACAGTGCTTTACGGCCCTCTCTAAGTGGGTTACACAGAATCAGCATATTGCCCTCAACAATCTGGGTCCCCATTTTACCAACCTCAAAAGGATGGAAAGCTGAATCAACCCTGAGCTGGTCAGGATTGAACTCCTGGCAGTGGGAAGAGTTAGCCTGCAATACTAATCACTATGCCACCCTAGCTCTGAGTAGCAAAAGACTCAAAACCAACACATTGAGGTTTGTGCATCATACTATATCATCATGTGATTTGTTTGGCTTTGGCTTTGTGTGTAATGTGAATTCAGGCAAGGGTAGTTTATTCAAACTATCATACTTGGTGTAAAGATAATTGAAAAGTGTGTGGAAGTCATTGGGATTTAGGGCAGCTGATTCAAAACAGCTGTGGCAAGTTGTATTCATTAAATCAGAGGCAGACAAACATCTGCTAGATCTGACTGGATAGTATGGATAGTTTCTGGATAGTCTTTGAATGCAGCCATATGAATGCTGCATTAACTTATCCAAGTAAGCTGTTATCAAGGCATAGA